CACAGAATAAGGCACGCAATATATTTCATAGTATTTAAGCAGTGATAAAGGCATTGCATTATAAATATACTTTATTTTAATGAAAATTATAATAATAAGAACTCAGATAAACCGTATATTTCCGTAGTCGTGTGTTTATTAGTCACGTTGAATTAATGAAAGCTGTTGAATCTTCTGTTTATTCAGCTGCAGCGATTTTCTGGGTTTCTTCTGCGAGGCGTATTTGGAGTTTCAGCGCGAGAGCGCCCTCTGGCCTTTGGATGGAGATTTACTGCTGATCACAGAACCGTGCTTCACTGAAAGATACGCATGACAATCGCAGCTTCTGTCGAATCGCGATCTCGATTCCATTTTGATTTATCGTGCAGCCCTACTTAGACCTATGTTACAGTTCACGGTGCATCAAAAATGGAGAATCTATTCGTTTTTTTTCTTTATAGTCAAAACACTTTTAGACCATTTTTTCTCCAAAAATAGAATGGATGTTATCTTTTGAACACTTGACATTAAAATGAATGGAGGTTTTTACTGATTTTTCATGATTTCATATGTGCATCACTATTTCAAAATAAAGGTCAGAACTCGCTCTCGGACTCTGATGAGCACTCTTCTTGCAAATTAATAAATTACAGTTGCTCTGTAAAATATTTTTTTTTAAATTAGTCATGAAATATGAAAACTAGAGTCTTTAAGCTTTCAAACGATATATAGTTTGTCAAGATTACTTTAGGTTCAGACTAAGATATTACTGTTAAAACATGTAATGACAAGTGGGCCCACCAGTGGGCCAGTGACAGTTAACAGGTTAAATTATAAAAAATTAATCTAAAGTCAAAATAAAAAAAACTGAAAATTTAAAAACCAAATTCAAAATATTAGTAAAATTAAAATAGTATACTAATAGTACTAAAATAACATTGGCTCAAACAGCTATTTTAAAAAAAAAATAGGATTTACATTATTCAAGAAATATTTTAACACAATATTAATCTAAAGTCAAAATAAAAAAAACTGAAAATTTAAAAACCAAATTCAAAATATTAGTAAAATTAAAATAGTATACTAATAGTACTAAAATAACATTGGCTCAAACAGCTATTTTTTTTAAAAATAGGATTTACATTATTCAAGAAATATTTTAACACAATTAGCACTTAATTTTCCTGTGTTGTTTTGTTCCTAATTTTTACTTTTTTATCTCTAGCCAACAAAGTCAGCAAAGACCTTTGACTGAATGGTTTGACTATTGCAAAGAATGGATCATTTCAGTCCTAACCTGATTTCTCTTTGCAGTCTGCAACGGCAGAGAAATCTTCTGACCAGAGCCTGGATTTGTGTGGCAGAATTCTCTTTCTCTTTATAACCTTTCCTTTCCTCCCGTGCTATCCTGGCTTTATCCAGGAACTGGGATTTGGAGGTTTGGGTAGCGCTGAACATGTTTTCACTCCAAACTGTGGGTTAAACATTATAAAAAGTGTCATAGCCAGGAACAAAAATCTACATCACACCTGAGAGCAAACACAAAGCAGAGGCTATGCATGCAAGTACAAACAAATTGGAAAATTATTTTCAAACCATGGTAAGGAATTAAGAAAATGAATGTCTCTCATTTACAATTTCAAATCTATCTTACACACACACACACACACACACATATTACCTTGCCCTAATGTAGTGACTGGTAATACTTCTGCTTCCACAGGTCACATGAATACTATCACATATTCACTCTTTTTGTTCTGGAGGTCCATTGGACTCTACAGAATAGAAGAGTAATTTTCTTTGAGACCTTTTATTAATGTAAGAAAATCAATAGCGCTTCTTTAAAACAGCACAAATGATCCATTGATTTAGGCACATAAGTCAAAGGTTGCTGTATTAAAATAATTTATTAAAATGACTCTGGAAATGATATGTTATAAATAAAAGAAATATTTTACTTTGCTTTTTAAAATAAAAGACAGCTTTAGACACATCAACAGATTATAACATAGCAAAAAGTGAAATCAAGGATTTTCTGACAGTATTATCAGACCAAAACAAGGCAGAGCCTTTATATCATTAACTCACACTTTGATTACACAACAGGATGAGCACTCTACGGAAACAAAATTAACATTTAACATCTGGTTTAAATTTGTAGAAAACGTACACCAACATAAAAACAGTGAACTGTGAATTAATTGTACCTACAGAGACAATAACATTCACACTAGCTATCCTGCTAGCAAATACTAACTCAGTTGCAGCATTCAGCGAGCTGGCAACGCTTGGGAAATGCTGTCACTTGATAAATGTGTTTCAAATGGAAAGTAAAGAAAGTCTTTAGGGTTTTCTCGAAGGTTTCATTTACCTGAGCGTTTGAGAATAAATGGAAAACTGATGTAAACAAAAGAGCGACCCAGACGCCGCAGCTCTAATCCATGAACGGTGTAACCTCCTAATCCTTCCGGAGGAACATTTTCGTTGGGACCATCCGCATTCACACAAGAAACATGGCTCGTACTTTTTATTTGTCGTAGTACATTGATATCGTTTCATTGTTGAAGCGATATTACACTGGAATATTTTAAACGTTTTAATTTGAGGTTTGGGACAGCAGGGAGCTGGGATTTTGTACCAAGCGGAACTATTTGTGATACAGTTTCTCTTCTGTTGATGTAAACATATATTGGGGACAACTTAAAAAAAAAAAAAAAAAGGTCAAAGTATATTTGCTAATATATTTGTCTCAAATTATTTTGTTGTTTTTAGTTGTTGTGATGTTGTTTTAAAGATATTTGGAGATATAGTATATCCTAAACATATGTATCCAAAAACATTTTATTATGGCATCTAAAAAGTGTCTGTGAACTGATGCCAACACTGCATCAGTGTTGCACTAATATTGGAAATCGTATCAGACACAAAGTACGTTGTTACATTTTTGTTATATATAGAATCCCCAGCACTCACAAATTAGTTACAACCACATGAAGTGAGAGAATTAAATGACAGGACATTGAACAGCCCATCTACTGTAATACAAAGCGTACGAGTCTGGGTCGCGACCGGAAGTGATCTAATTCCCGTTCCAAGAGGCCCGAAAGACTCGGGGAATTTCTATGGTAAATAATGACATTTGTCTGATGTTTCATCTAATTTGTAGGCTTCTGTTGGTGTATATTTTAATTATTATATATTGTGGCGTGTAATTAACTTTTTTACGAGCAAGTTCGTGTTTATTTCCTTAAAGGAATTGAGAGAACAAGATGGTGTGCTAGTTTAGCGCTTTAGCTCCTCTAGTCATTAAATCGGTCTCATTGTGCTGTGAACAAGTTTCTCGTTGAAGGAGAGATGAGTTATCATCACGATTTAATGTTTTACAATCAGTTTGTTAATGTGTTACATTTAATAGAATTTAAGAGACTTGTGGGAATGTGAGAAGTGGTGCGCCTTGCTAAAACTCATGAATATGTGCATAACTTTTTTTAATCTCTTATATTCAGAACAAATTTTTATATTTGTCATTTGAAGAAATTTACCCTCACTGTGTTCATACACATTTCATAAAACTCATAATTATAGTGTGTGTGTGTGTGTGTGTATTTGCAATGTAGATGCATACACTATTAATCCCATGAGAGAAATGTCAAGTCAAGTTGAGCTTTATTGTCATTCTGCTACATGTGTGGACATAATAGTAGAACAAAATGTCGTGTCTCGCAGGACCATGGTGCTACATATTAGTTAACATAACATAAACATAAACATACAACAATAGAAGTTAAGAAAAACAATTATAAACCAAGTTAACAGTTAACCGTCTGACTATACATTGGTCTATACTATAAAACACACAATCTGAGACTGTACAAGAACTTTACATAAATACTGTACATGAAATTGTGCAAAAGAGATATTTTGGGGGAAGCAGTGCATAGTGCAAGATGATTTGTAGTGCAATGCACAAGTAAACCTATATTATCATATTGAGTCTTTGTAGCACTGAGTGTTTATAAAAAGTGTCTGATGTACATACAGAGAAAAGAGTGTTTCTCTATATATATGTATATGTATATATTTATATGTATTATATTTTATGAGTCCTGCATTTTCATACCTGATTTTCAGGAAGAGATGTCAGGAGAAAGTGTGGTGAGCTTGGCTGTGCCGGCAGCTACAACACGGACCACCTCCTTCAAGGGGTCCAGTCCCAGTTCCAAATATGTGAAGCTGAATGTCGGGGGAGCGCTGTACTACACCACCATGCAGACCCTGACCAAGCAGGACACCATGCTGAAGGCCATGTTCAGTGGCCGTATGGAGGTCCTAACTGATAGTGACGGTAGATGTACTGTAATAGCTACTGCAGAAGAGTTCATGTAATATTATGAACCATATCGATACAAATGTGTGCTTCTGCAGTGTCCAAGTCACACTTTTCACCTCTGATCTTTCTCCAGGCTGGATTCTGATTGACAGGTGCGGGAAGCACTTTGGGACCATCCTGAACTACCTGAGAGACGGAGTCGTCCCGTTACCTGAGAGCCGGAGGGAGACGGAGGAGTTACTGGCAGAGGCAAAGTATTACCTGGTGCAGGGCCTGGTGGATGAGTGTCAGGCAGCATTACAGGTACAGTACCGGCTACAACACATTTAAAGGTCACATATTTTACACCTTTCTGGAGTTTTATTTTAGGTTTTGATGTCCTTAAGAATATATATTTGCGGTATAAGTACCAAAAACCATCTCAATATATTTTTACAGCTCCTCTCTCAGGAGCTCTGCTAAGAACAGGTCGATTTTGGCCTGTCTTTTTTTTTTTTGGCCGGTCCTGTTGTTTTCTGAGTGACGCACGGCCAGGCCAACCACAGGTTACTAGGGTCATGTATCCTGTAGCCTGCTGTGGCTTGGTGATACTCACAAGTAAGGTCAATAGAAACACCGGTAATGATGGTCACTGCTGAGGGAAATGTTGTCCGGCATACATGTTTGAGCCGAACTCAGCCCCCGAAACGGCGACGATCGGCGACCCCCAGTTGTCTGGGGGTTTGGCAAAAGGAGGGTGGGACGGTGGGGTGGTGACCGAAGGTTTTGAAACGTATATGGTAGTTACATAGCCCCTAGACCTCAGTTATCATGGAAAAAGCCAGGAAATTTCAGTTTTGACAATATGGGACCTTTAAATTAAAAAATTCTGTCATCATTTAAATCTGGTTTCAAACCCATTTTTGTTCATCTTCAAAATGCAAATGAAATTGTTTTTATGAAACCTGAGAGATTTATGTTGCTCCATTTATTAGAGGTGTAACAATGCATCAATCAAATGATGATTCAATGTATCGATGTAATGCATAAAAAAATCAAAATACAGATTTATAGAATCGAAATACAGACTCTATCTATCTATCTATCTGTCTGTCTGTCTGACTATCGGACTTTAATCAAAATATATAATTGTAATAGAGCAGTTAAGCTTTATCAACTTTTATCAACATTTTTGAAATAGTTTTTTTTATATTTAAAACACCTGAGAAGAGATGATGCCAACCCTGAAACAACATACAGAACTACCACATTTTGCTATAAGTTTGATTGCATCATATAATAATTGCTGTTAATAGTGTTCATCGTCTGTTTGATTACGTCTTTAATAGATTTTTCCGTACATTTCTGCCATATGTACATTAACTGACAGTCACCACTGATAAGTTACTACTAAATATATTATATATATACTATACATATAGTAGAAACTTAATTTGCTGTAAAGTTGCTTTGCAACGATTTGTATCGTGAAAAGTGCTATACAAATAAACTTGAATTGAATTGTTTTTCCATAACCGGAGTACAGTTCAGTTAAATGTTTGTGTTGTATTTTGGTTGCATTTGTGAGTTAATAAAAATATAAATGATTGTGTAAAATAGGCATATATGTGCCTAAATATTTTAGCGTAATATCAATATATTGATTGTGGGATCCTGAATCATGTTTTGTGGCACGTTTTGAGCTATCAGCAAATATCATGTCGCTGGCCAAGAGAATAAATTTCATTTATTCACATATAAAAACTGATCAACACACATATATAGAGCACACCAGATATGATAAACAGAAGCTCAACCGTACGTACATGATGCGTGAGTGCAAACCTCAAATGTAAATGTACTTGTTTTACACATAATGAACCTTGTTGGTTCTTGCGCATCAAGCAAGCACATTTGAGTTTCCATTTTCCATTTTTGATGTTCTTAATGTATGTGTTTATATGGGAATAAAAGTAAATTAAATGTTCAGCATATAAAGTGATTTTCTTTTCAGAAGACTTGAATTAAATCTCCAAATTCTTCTTGAAACTTTTTGAAGCATCACATTTTTGGTGTAACTGACCGAGAGAAATCTCTCAGATTTCATAAAAAATATCTTAATTTGTGTTCTGAAGGAGAGCAAAAATCTTAGAAGAGTTCGGAAAGACATGAGGGGAAATAAATGTTGACAGAATTTTCATTTTAAATAAGCATATTAGATGTTCAAATATTTTTTTTTTTTTTTAGATTATATTCTAAATTTCTAGTTTACAAATGTTTTCAGAACAAAGATGCGTATGAACCATTCTGTAAAGTTCCACTGGTGACATCATCTAAGGAGGAACAGAGGCTCATTGCCACTGCAAATAAGGTACAAATGCTTTATCATGTCAATCCTAAAGGAATACTATAATACTATACTGACTTGTCTTTCTGTGTATATGCAGCCTACAGTCAAACTGCTGTACAACAGGAGCAACAATAAATATTCATATACAAGGTAAAGTGTTTACTTTCTTATAAGGCTTGGGTTGTTGAGAAGCTTACTGTTGAGCTTTTACCTGATCAGATTGCTCTTTTTCTTTGTAGCAACTCTGATGACAACATGTTGAAGAACATTGAGCTGTTTGACAAGCTGTCTCTGAGGTTCAATGGCCGAGTGCTTTTCATCAAGGATGTGATTGGGGATGAGATTTGTTGCTGGTCCTTTTACGGCCAGGGCAGGAAGATTGCAGAGGTGTGCTGCACATCAATAGTCTACGCCACTGAGAAGAAGCAGACAAAGGTAAAGGGTTATCTGTCCGTCACATGATTAAAATCAAACTTTTTATACAGTCTAGCATTTTCTCTGTTTTCAAAACATGAAATCTCTTCATTTCTGGGTTAAAAAGTTTTCAGTCACAGCATTAAATGTTGCATGCACAGCAAAAAATAAATCTATACCTTATTATATTGTTTTCCAATACAAATATCTAAACATCCTTGGGTTTATACTTGAAACAAGCAGTTGGCAACTCTGGACTTTATGATTAAATCAAGACATATAATTTCGATTCTCAAGTAAATTGTCTTGATTTACGAAACTTACGACAGAATTTGCACTGTAAAATGATCAATTAAATGAAAAAGTATTAAATATCTGTTGGAAGTTGTATTTTCAAACTTTGATGTATTGAAACAACTCATCATTGTGAGAGCATATTGCCGGATTGTTCGGTTTAATTTATTCCTTAGATTTTCTTTACTTTGTTTTAAAGTCTCAAATTTACCTTCACAAAACCCAAAAACAAGATAAATGTGTCCTAAATGCTTCTGATAGGTTTATATGACTCACTTATTTTATTCCCTCCATCACAGGTTGAGTTCCCAGAGGCTCGCATCTACGAAGAGACCCTCAACATCTTGCTCTATGAGTCTCAAGATGGCCGCGGACCTGACAATGCACTGCTGGAGGCCACAGGGGGCGCCGCAGGGCGTTCCCACCACATCGACGAGGACGAAGAGAGGGAGCGCATTGAAAGAGTGCGGAGGATCCACATCAAGCGCCCTGATGACCGCACTCACCACCACCAGTGACCCTGCAGTTTCTCCTCTTTTCAGTGCCTTAACAACTACCAGCGCTTCGGTTACACCCGTTTGCACACGGACACGTCAGTTAAGTTTATCCCGAGTCTGCTTCCTTAGAGAGACAAAGGGATGCTCACAGAATCGCTAGTATTGATAATGTTACATGAATGTAGCATATAGGGCAGTGCAGCATTGACCTCATGTGCATTTTTGAGGACCTCTCTAAAAAGATACTATGATGGTGTAAATGTGAACAGAAATGCACAACAGATGGTTAGTTTTATTGCATTCATGAACATGTTGCCCTTTTTGCTATTCATAAAGCAAATTCCAATGAATATATCAAGTCGATCAGCTAATCTGTCATTTACTTGTAGGTTTGCAGCAAATGGATATTTTCCTAATTTAGTTGTCTGCCGTAGTATTTTTGTATTTTACATTATTTACCATATTTTTTTCTGTTCGAGTGAAGACTGTAGGGTTCCTGGTGCCTTATAGATTAATCCTGTTCTTTTTTTGTTCGTTTTTTGTTGTGTGATAGACGTTGGATTTTTGTGGCTTTTGAGTTTAGTCTATCCCTCTTTTCTTGTCGCTTTGAACTGAAGTGTTAGAGCCAGGATTTCACAGTGCTGACAGTGTGTCTTACTGAGATTCAGGAAGTTTAACCCATCTTGAATGTCAGTGTGATTTGACAGTCAAGTGATCAGTGAATCCAGTGCAGGAGGATATTATTATTGCCTTATGAGAGGAATTCAATCCATAACTCCCATATTTTTATACTGGTTAGGGAAGAGTGTCATACAAATTCTTAATCTGTCAATGTTCATTTTATTATGCTTGCGCAAAAATATCCATGCACGCCGTCAATTGAGAATTGTATGTGCTGGATTTTTTTGACAGGTCTGTATGAGTTTGGCCTATAGAGGGCAGTGTAGTGTTACGGTGTTTTCACTCTTGTTCATGAGAAGGAGGCACTTTTAAAGCAGTAGTTGTCAAATTTTCTATCCCCTTTTAGCTACAATCAGTAAAATAGATTATGCTATTAAATAACTTTCTGCTGAACTGTATTGAATTCCATCAAGTTAATTACGCTTCTGGGTTTTGAAAGTGATCTCATTCAAGCTAAGAAACTGAGATGTAGTCAGAAGCGTTCGGATGTATATCTGTAATTGAGAAATGGACACCAATTATGAGTGTGTAATCAGAGACCGGATCACGTCAAAGAAGCTCCAGGAAGTATGAGAGTACAGGCTCTCCTCTGCTGCAGCGTCACAGATGGTTTGTGATTTTTAGTTTTATTAAAGGTGTATTTAAACAAAATAGTAATGCTGTAATACTGTAGAGAGGTCTGTACAGACGTGCACATGAATAAAAATGTTTTACATACAAATTATTTATACACACGTTAGCACGAATAAAGATTTCTACAAATTTTGTAGATCAAACTGCGCATTTGCTTTGTATTTTATTTCTGCAGTTTGTATGTATTGGTATAAAACAATGTTATAAATATGGCTCAACAACAAAGCATGAACATGACCAAACAAAATATTCATTTTACAAGAAATGTCATCAAGAACTGAAACCAGAAGGGCAGCATTTATGAAAACAACAAAATATATATCATTTTAAATAACCGTTTAGCTGTAATTTTCCATTTGTACACAGAGTGCTGCTTTGAATCTCAATATACTGAGTGTGTGATAAGTGTGTGTCAGTTTGGGGGATGGAGAAAGATCTCTTCTTCCATAAGGGTTTCCCTCATGAAATATACACAGACTTGGTGACCTCCTTTAGATCATCGAGACTTGACCCGTGGAGCCACCTTTGATAATGAAAGAGTCTAAATACTGGAGCAATAATGTTACATTAAGCTGAAATACGGAAATAATCACTTACCACCATAAGATGACCATTTTTGCCTTTATAGATCATTGGTTCTTGACCAGTGCTGAAATCCACACCACCCTCCTTGCCTGCCTGGATCTCAAACTTGATGCTGTGAGAAGATCAAATGTTAACACACTGTGTCCAAATGAACATTACAGGTTGAAAAATAAGTGCTGGCCACTTTACCTTCCCTGAACAACCTTGATGTTATTCTGCTTGTTTGCAATCATAGCCAGTTTGGTCAAAGCTTCAAACAGGTGGTCACACTGAAGTACCAAGTCCCCCTTAGATACAGTAAACTACATTAGTACTTGCAAATGTATGGATTTGTGTATCATGAAAGTCTAGCATTTACATAAGCGTGAAGCCTGGTTTGCTCACCTTCTGTTTTGGATCATTCAAAGCAACGTGGAGGATCATGACAGAGTCGCCCAGATTACTGACAGAAGCACCTGTGTACACAAGATAGATTCACTGTGGACTTGGTTCGCTCTGCTTTGCAAATAAATGCTACAATAAAACACACATGCACATCATTCAAAAGTTTGGGGTCAGTAAGATAAAAATAAAAAAAAGAAATCAATAGTTCTATTTAGCAAGGATGGATTAAATTGATCTTAAGTGTTTATAATGCTACAAAAGATTTCTATTGCAAAAAAAAAAATACAAAATTAAAAATAAGCTGTTCTTTTGAACTGAAATGTAATATTACTTTCACTGTATTTTTTTTATCAAATAAATGCAGCCTTGATGAGCATTAAAAAATCTTACTGACCCCAGAATGTTCTCAATAGTCCAAAATTGTACTTTTAGGGGTACAACATGCCCTCAAAAGTACACCTTTGTTCTTAAGTGTTTATAATGCTACAAAAGATTTCTATTGCAAAAAAAATAATAAAAATTAAAAAATAAGCTGTTCTTTTGAACTGAAATGTAATATTACTTTCACTGTATTTTTTTGATCAAATAAATGCAGCCTTGATGAGCATTAAAAAATCTTACTGACCCCAGAATGTTCTCAATAGTCCAAAACTGTACTTTTAGGGGTACAACATGCCCTCAAAAGTACACCTTTGCATCTTATCTACCTCTAATGGGTGCATATTGGTACCTTAGAAGTACATTGTAGTCCCTTAACGTACTAATATGCACCATTTAGAGGTAAATAAGGTACAAAGTTGTACCTTTGAGGATACCGCCCTGGTGAGAATGCTACAGGGGAATAATTAAAAGGAGACATCTTTACGAGTGCTGTAGTGTTATTTTATTTCATTGAGTGACTACACATATCTACCCTTCGTAACCCACCTTTTAGAGAAACATAGTCCACTCTCTGCTTGATCTTAGCCTCCTCTACCAAATATACAGCAGCCTGACTGAGAATAAGTTGCCTTGGTCTGGGTTTAAATCCATTTCTGTCATACTTCACCACAGGAACGCTGTACTGCAGCGAGAGAACGTGTGTTTAGGTGACATACAGGTGCATCTCAATAAATTAGAATGTCATGGAAAAGTTAATTTATTTCAGTAATTCAACTCAAATTGTGAAACGCGTGTATTAAATAAATTCAATGCACACAGACTGAAGCTACTTCAGTCTGTGTGCACTGAATTTATTTAATACACGAGTTTCACAATTTGAGTTGAATTACTGAAATAAATGAATTTTTCCACGACATTCTAATTTATTGAGATGCACCTGTATGTAGTTCTTATTCTATTCTGTATGATTGACAATTGGGCCTCATACATTATAAAGATTCTGATTTACCTTGATACGTTCATGATGTATAGTCTGAAGAACCCTCATATTGATGTCTTGTTCATCTAGTAAATGAAAGAGAGTACACATAAGACATACAAAAGGATCTGTGCAAAACTAATTGTTGTTTATGTAAACTACTGACTGATTCTAGTGTCCACAAAAGGAACAGCAATGCTCGAAGGGTAGCTGTCCTTCTTTCCCTTAAAGATGGCACTGGTTACTACTTTTTGTTGCAGCTGTGAAAAGACATTTTCATCATTAGCCAAAATGTAAACATGGTGAAATGAGCTGAAACTATTTTAAAGACTCAAAGGCCTGTGACAACAGTAATAGTGACCTGTGCTTTTTTCTGCGGCGTAATTCCCCGCACGTACTTCCTCACCATCATTCGTGTGTTCAGCTGTCGCAGAATCTCTGAGGTCTACAATCACAACAGCGCCAAAGACATTCCCAGTTTAAAATAATACTACACATGAACGTTTGAATACAGTGGCATCAAATTCAGACAATTAAGCCCTTAGGTCAGATGGCAATAATTGTGATGCAACTTTTAATGCAATGGAATTCATAGTTTTATTACTCACCCTCATGTCCTTCCAAACCTGTAAGACCTTCGTTCATCTTGGTTCTATTTTTGTTTTCTTTGCACACAAAAAGTATTCTCGTAGCTTCATAAAATGGTTGAAGCACTGATGTCACATGGACTATTATAATAATGCCCTTACTACCTTTCTGGGCCTTGAACGTGTCAGTTGTGTTGCTGTCTATTCAGGAACAGAAAGCTCTCGGATTTCATCAAAAATATCTTAAAGGGGCCATATGATGCTTTTTTAAAGAAGAATGAGCCGTTTTAGGGGGGCGTGGCAGAGTCTTAACTTTTATAAAGAATATCTCTTTGGTTTTGAGACTTTAGTCTTTGCAACTTCAGGGATCTTATCTATGCACAATCAGCTTGTAACACTCCAAAGAGAAAGGAAAACTTGAAATCGCATCATATGACCCCTTTAATTTGTGTTCCGAAGATGAATGAAGGTCTTACGGGTTTGGATGACGGACTTTTTATTTTTGGGTGAACTATCCCTTTAACGTATCTGTTTAGCTGCGCATTCCCTGATTGAGCATTGTTTCTGCACTGAACTGATCGCACTCCACTTTTTTTTATTTCTCTCTTCTCTTCTTATGTTTTTATGTATGCCTCTTCATTTTAATATAGATCTTATTCAATTTATGATTAATTTCATCTTTTTATTTACTTTTTAAAAATGTTTTATTGTTTTTTTTATTCTCTATGTATCCTTTTCATGGTTTTAGTAACAGAGAGTTTCTGATACCTCTGTCATGACTGGCGGAGGTGTCAGCCATGTGGTCTTGTCCAGGACAGTCTTTGGTAAGTTGCCTTTCAGTCTATTTAGGTAGCTCTGTCGAACGAAGGCCAGGTATTCGGAGTTGTCAGTAGTTTTTGCCTCACGACGTGTGATGTAACCCTTAATAAATCTGCATGGATAAAAATCATGTCATTATGGGAATGCTGTCTCATCCCTTAAAGGGATAGTTCACCCCCGCTCATAAATGATGACAGAACTTTCATTTTGGGGTGAACTATCCCTTTAAGTGAAAGGGCATACACCTGGTCAATAAAATGTGTTGATATAAAAATAAAAATAAACTAATATTATATTAACTAATATTACTGTTTAATGATTTTGACAGCCCAGGCTCTGCGATCTCTCTCTTTGCGTGCCTGCACTCCTCTCCAACACGTCTCAATTTTTGTAGCTAAATGTTGGCAAAAAAATAAAAAATAAAGATGTAAATAGCACATATATGTATGCTATAATAAATATACTTTATGTTGCAATGAAGTATCATAATATTATGTAATATAACATAAATATCGGTTATAAAAAACCATTGAATCAATAAATACTGTTATTTACCAGCCTCTTTCTGTTTTCGAAACTCTCCTTTGGTTCTGTAACCTTTGTATTTGGCCTGTATTCTTGAAGCTGTAAAAGCAACATTAACACATGCTTACAATACAAGAAAGAAATTTAAAATGTCTCTTTTGAGTTCTTTTTTTGCTTACCCAGTTCATGTTTGCAGATTTCAAAGGCATCTTCTGTGGCAAAAAGTGTCCTGGCATATCGTATGAATATCTTTGTCCTTTGAATATGACAGAATATGAAGAGTAGTTCAGGTTTGTGTGGTGAGAAAACAGATGCTAATTTTTCAGTATTAAGTTGTGAAGTTGAAAGCCTGAAACCACTCACTTGCCCATTTTATACTCATCAGGCTGGTAGCCCAGATGTTGCACAAGTTCTTCCACCCCATCTGCAGGTACACCTTTCCAGTGGGGCCAAGTGGCAGGACAAAGAGCTTTGTACCTTAGGAATGTTGCATCAGGTGGGCATTTTAAGTCTAATAAGTGTAAAAGTTAAACAGCTTTCAAAATATTTGTGACCCTGGACCACAAAACCATAAGGTCATAAGGTCATAAGTCATAAGGGTCAATTTTTCGACATTGAGATTTATACATCATCTGAAAGCTGGATAAATGAGTTTTCCATTGATGTATGGTTTGTTAGGATAGGACAATATTTGGCTGAGATACAACTATTTGAAAATCTGGAATCTGAGAGTGCAAATAAATCAAAATACTGAGAAAATCACTTTTAAAGTTGTCCAAATGAAGTTCTTAGCAATGCATATAACTAATCAATTGATCTATTTACGGTAGGAAATTTACAAAATATCTTCATGGAACATGATCTTTACTTAATATCCTAATGATTT